GTATTTGAGTCAATGCAATCAACTGGTTTTCCTTAGATAGAAAACTTTGTATCAATTTGACTGTATGATATGGTTGAACTGTGAAGTGCCTTGAGATGACAAGTTTTGGTAATCGGCGCTATATAAATAAACTGAATTGAATTGAATGTCAATGATCTGGCCCCGATACCTGGGACTGAGCTGTATATAAAGCAGCGGGAGCAGGTGGATGAGATTAGTGATGATTGTTAACCAGGCAGAGTTAGGCAGGTAAGTCAAATGAGCAATTAGGTCAGCTATCAGGGTAGCAACCATGACAATCTGCTTTAGTTTCTGCATCTGCATTGTGACAGGACCTTTTTACTAAAGGTATTTACTTTTTTTATACCCAATAACAGACAGACCAGTCTTAATTACAGTTTCAATCTTTGAACAAGTTAAGATGAATGAAGCATCTGAATAACCATTGTGTGAGATAAGCAAAGTCAGTGAGTCATTGTTGTTACCTTTGTGTTGTATTAATTCTGCAGCAGGGGTCTAGATGTACAGTAGGTTTCACACCATGTATGAGAATGAAGCTCTTACTGTACAGGGCAGGGTTTTTTTTTTACTTTTCCCCCAAAACATATGTGACAGCCTGGATTTCACTGTGGCATTCAAACTGTGTGATCAACATTCTTAAATGTTTAACAAAACAAAATGTCTTTGTTGTATAATAGCAACATCACTAAAGCAAAAAGGCAGAATAGTGTGAAATAGGTATACAATTGAGCTTGTCAACACCAAAGAATAGGTTAGGAATTAAAGCAATTAAGGCTTCTTAAGTATGGTGGAGATTTTTTAGTGCTAAAGAAAAAGCACTAAGAATGTCCTAAAAGTATTTTGCACCTTAAACTGTAGTAAATGCCAAGAAATTTAAAAATAATAATTGGGTCACCCCTGAAACAGAATAGCTTGCAATCCTATTTTTGATGGTCATTTATATGGATAAAGATTAAAAACATCTGCTAAAATCAACAAAGAGACAAGTCACCTTCCCCTATGGTCTGCATGATCAATATGCCTCATTTCCTGAGACAAAACTGACAGAAGATTTTACAAAAACAAAACATAAGAAATAATTGAAAAGAAGACTATTTAAAATCATTCTCTCTATTGGTTTTGACCTTGTGATTAATTAACAAATTTAGTCAAATTAAAGGTTGTATTAAAAAAAAGAAAAAATGCATTCATCTTAGCACTTTTAACAAATACTTACCAAGAGTGAAATAAACATCCACACTTTTATTGTACTTATAGTATATTATCTTAAGCTCACCTTTTCATACATGAGATGCAGAAATCATTTTCAAAGACAGTGTGGAAAACTGTTAAATATTTATGACCACAGAGTGGCAGTCA